ACCCCTGGATTGTTAAGTCCAGTCAAAGGTGATTACGGGGTTGCAACGCTCATCTCACTTTTCAGGCCAATGGCGCCAGTATTTGTCCACAGAAAGCTTTCTGGGTCATGCGGCCAGCAGGACTTAAACCAGAGCACACGGAAACGCTGTTTACCTTCCCACTGCAGGGGTACCTATTTATCTACTTGCACTGACATGCTTTCAAACTGCTAGGTTGGCAGAAGCCGGGACAGAGCAACCGGAGCTCACCCCGTAATGGGTAACGCTGACCTTCTGATCAGCAAGACCAAGAGGCTCAATTGTTTAGATCACAACACCACCTCCGCCCCTTTAGAGGCTTACAACCCACCCTCCAACCATGGCAAAGGCTTACCCAATGCTTAAAACTGCCACCTGAGCTGAGCCAATCTCCAGGCTTGCTGCCAAACCACTCACATCTGCAGACAGCCCTTAAACCTTTGACAATAGCCTTCAGCCACACATAACAGCAGACAGGCGGACACCATCGGATCTAAACAAAGTCTCTTTGTCAAAGGGGATGTCAGGATGATGATTCACCGAGCCACCCAATAGCTACACTTTGCTCCTCACCTTCTTCCTTGAGCAGTTTATACTCACCGGGTCTGAAATAGCATGCCCTTGCCTCCTTTCCAATAAGTCTGACCAACCAATGACCTTCCACGGGTGCATTTCTCACAGTGATTCAAAGTTCGCAATTACAGCCCACGTTAAGTCTATGTCCTTTTGCAGGCCCAGGTCATTCTCACCCAGCTGAATGATCATGGCATCAGTTGGTTCATCAGTTGAAATTCTCGCAAACAGAAAGAGCTCATTGTTATGTACTGAAGTTCTCACCCTGGGCCAGCAGGGGGATACTGTAGATAGTTTTTACTCAGGTCCATATACCGTGTGCAAATAAGGGATTGAAAGTGACGTTCAGTGATTGGATAGTTACAGAAAATGGTTACTGTTGAGTACTGTTGATTGGTTACAGTTTCACCAACTAAACGATATTTTTAAGATAGATAAAAAGAAAGCTTTCAGTTATGAGACCTCAAGATTTGAAAAGGACTTGTTAGAAAATAATATAAAATTACTGTCAAAAACGTACAGATTGCTTTTGGAATGGCATGCAAAGGATGAACAGGTTAAATCTATAATGATACACTGGGCAAGATATTTGGTGCATAATATCCAATTTTCAGATTGGGAAAGGTTATGAAATTCTCGGCATGTTGTACGCTGAAAGAAAATTACATGAAAATTATGTACTGGTGGAATTTGACCCCTAGTAAGTTAGAAAAAATGTATAAGACAATTACAAATAACTGCTGGAAATGTAAAGAAAAAGAAGGCACCTTTTACCATATGTGGTGGATGTGCAAGGTAATAAAAGCATTCTGGAAAATGATATATAATGAATTGGAAAAAAATGTTTAAAATAACATTTATTTTAAAAAAGAAAGCTTTTTTATTAGGAATTGTAGGTACCAGATCCCAAAGGAGCGGGAAAGACTTTTTATGTATGCGACGACAGCCGCATGGATGTTACTAGCCCAGAGATAGAAAGAATTACCGCTCCCCACATCAAATGGGGGGCACCTTTTGTGTGGTTGCGCACCCCCCCCCCCCGGATCCCAGCGAGGCTCCCGGTAGTTCGGGCTGGCTTCACCCTCCCCAGGCTGGATACCTGGAGGTCTCCGCCTACCTCAGCCAATCACCCAATCCCGCCTGGGGAGGCATTGCCAGGGGATTGGCCAGGTAAGCGGAGGGACCACCCTGCCCACACAACAGAAGGTGAATCTTACCTGTGAAGCGTCACTTGGCTCCAGAGATCTAAAATATGGATTACTGAATGATATGCAGTTGGAAAGGTTGACAATGGGACCCATGGAGGGGAAGGTGGAAAGTCCAGAGATTCAGAGAAATCTCCATATATGGATATGTATTTTGTATTGTTATAATTCTATACATGTAAATTCAATTAAAAATTATTTATTAAAAAAAGAATTCTCAAGAGTTATTGACAGGGGCTCTGAGATGACACCTGCAAATTCCTTTAATATTGTGGCATGCAACACATCTGACCTACAAGACTTGAATTTATGTGGCCTAGCTAGGCATTTGTGTACGGATATCTTTCTTGGGCTGTAATTCCTTCCGTTAGCCATTGATCTTGTAGGCATACACACTGCATGGGCAGTGCTCAAAATTCTTTGAATGGAGAAACTTGTTTGAAAGGTCTGGTGTGTTACACACTCTTAACCATTCAATCTGTTTTCTGCTAGTTTCCCTTGTGGTAAAAGAGGCAAAGTAGAGGCAGAATGGTTCTGTCACCTGCTTACATTTCTCCATCTTCTCCAAGTGTCCAAGAAAGAGCTTACTGACAATAATGGAGTAATCCATTCACCTCCTGTCATTCACTCCCAGTTCCTGTCAATCTAAGGTTTAGCGATATTCAAAGCATGAGAATACATGACACTGAAGATCTTATCTTTTCAGAGTCAGATAGACTTTTCTGTATTCATAAATTGTTTCCAATTTATCCATAAAAGAGTTTCTAAGGGGCTTAGAACTCTCTAATAACAACACAGCCGTGGCAAAGTTTTAATTACTGACAAAGTCTAGGCATAACCCAGCCAAGGTAAAATATTCTTTAGTCCTCTTGAGTTCAGCTGGAAATATGTAACCTTGAGTCTTGATTTAAAAAAGAATAATTTTATTTTCCATTTTACAACATTCAACATTGAATATAAATCTACACAAATCAAATAATATTTTCTGCAACTTCCCTCCCTCCTCTTCTACGGTTTCTTATTTTTCCATTATTTTCTTACTGCATATCCAAATTTATCCTTTTTACAAATTTATCCTTTATAATTCTTTTTAAAATTTTACTGCTCATGTTTATATCAGTCCTGTTAACTATTTACAATTTGTTTTCATATGTTCGATAAATTTCCCCCATTCTGTCACAAAAGTCTGTCCTCTTGATCTCTTATTCTTTTGGTAAGTTTTGCCATCTCTGCGTATTCCATCAGTTTTAACTGCCAGTTGCCTCTTTTTGGAGCCAGTTCCTCTTTCCAGTTTTGGACATATATCATTCAGGCAGCTGTGGTTGCATACATAAATAGTATTTTCTGGTCTTTCGGCACATCTTCTCTGAATATACCTAAAAGAAAAGCTTCTGGTTTTTAAACAAAAGTTATTTTCAACACTTTTTTCAATTCAGTATGAATCATTTCTGAGAAAGCTTTTGCAGTCTCACAGGAGCACCACATATGAAAAAGTTACCTTCTTTCTCTTTACATTTCCAACAAATATTGGATTCAGACTTCTACATTTTAGCTAGCTTACTAGGCGTCAAGTACCCTCTGTACATCATCTTTATATAATTTTCTTTTAATGCATAGCAAGCTGTGAATTTTAAATCTCCATTCCAGAGTCTTTCTCACGCTGTCATGCCAATATTATGACATATATCCATTGCCCAATGTATCCTTTATGATTTAACCATGTTTTATTACTTCTGTTCTCAGTCAAATGGTTGTATTGGGCACACTTGCCTCTTGGCATCTCTGGTGGCAGTGAAAGCAAAGAGGGTTTAAAGCCCCGAGCAGAATGCCCAGCTCAGAGCTGCGCCCGCCTCTTAACGCGGGAGAAGGCGGGTGTGAGGGTGGTCCCAGACAACAGAGCAAAACTGCTTCTCCCTCTTCAGCCACCACCTTCCCTCCCACGGGCAGGAGCTCATGTTCTTGGGGGGGGGGGAGAGGTGGCGGCGTGACAAGGTCCCAGTACTGATCCTTGGAAAACTCCACTTTCTGTGGCTCTGTCTGTCTGGAGACCTGTCCATTTCTTCACGCTCTTTGCTTCCTGCTATGGAATGGATCCTGGCCCCGAGGACCACGCTCTGGCTCCAGGGTCAGAAGCCGCAGGATTCTGGAGGCCCCTTGGTGGGGAACTCAGGAGGGCCCTGCGCTCAGGTCTGGAGGGCTTCCCATGAGGAGCATCTGAAGGAGAGCAGGAGGCCAGATCCAGCAGGCCCCCACCTCCGTCGGCCACCCCAGGATACCACAGCCAGCCAGGAAAGGGGGGGGCAACCCTCACATCTCCACATAAGCTCACCATGAGGAAACATTGGGCACATTGGCTCCGGGGTCACCCGGCGAAATTGACTAGCGGTGGATTCAGTCAAGCCAAGATGAAGTACTTCTTGACACACAGCACAACTGATTTATAGACTTCGTCGCCACAAGGAAGAGTGGTGTCAGCAGACGTAGATAGCTTTAAAAAGGATTAGATGAATTCAGGAAATTAGAGGGGGTTATAAGGACACAGATTTCTGGCACTTTTTGCAGAGCTTGTGAAGAGTAACTGGGAGAAGTCAGTACTCCAAATTTTTGGCCTTTGCCATCTATACTGTGTACACGTGTGTGAGTACCGATTTGTGAATGCTGCATGCGTTGCGTGCTTCTGCAAACATACCACATTGTTCATTCATTTTACTGAAACACATTTATTTGGGCTGAAATTGGGCTGGGGAAAGCGAAGCCGCAGACGGTGGTTGGGGAAGGGGCGGGAAGGGCCTCCGAGCCCGGCGGATCATCCTGGTGCGGGGGAGGCTTGGGCGGCGAGCAGCGGGGATCCAGCCCGCAGGCAGGCGGCGCTCCTGGCCGCCCGGGATGGGGCGCAGCAGGAAGGCCCCGGCCCGCCCCCCCCCCCGAAGTCCGGAGCGGCGGTGGGCCGAGCGACGGCTCGGCAGGATCGCCTCGGGAGGGCCGGGGGGGGGGGCTGCTGCAGCCCCGCCCGCGAGGATGCTGGTGGGGGATCCGCGCCAGCGGGCGGGCGGGAGGCAGCCAGCCAGGGAAGCCCTGCCCTCTCCCTCCCTCCCTCCCCCCCCCGGACGGCGCTTCTCCTCCGCGCTGCTGCAACTTGCTGCAGTGTTTGAACGGCGCGGGCGCGCGGGCGGGCGGGAGCGGGGGCGCGCGCCGGGCGTGCACGCGGCAGGCGGATCCGGCGCGGAGCCCCGCGGAAGGTGCGCTTGCCCGCTCGGCGCCGGCAGCCTGGCGCCGGCTGGGGCGGAGGAGGATGCTGCGGCAGGCGATCCACAGAGGGCTCCGCTCGTCGTGCCACCAGCTGGGCTTGTTCGTCAGCCGCCACCCGGTCTTCTTCCTGACGGTGCCCGCAGTGCTGACGCTCATCTTCGGCTTCAGCGCCCTGCACCGCTTCCAGCCCGAGACCGACCTGGAGCGCCTGGTGGCGCCCAGCCACAGCCTGGCCAAGATCGAGCGCAGCCTGGCCAACAGCCTCTTCCCGCTGGACCGCTCCAAAAGCCGCCTCTACTCGGACTTGCACACCCCGGGGCGCTATGGCCGCCTGATCGCCCTCTCCAAGCCCGGAGGCAATATTCTGCATCAGGCAGAAGGACTGCTGCGCATCCACCGAGCCGTGCTGGAAATGAAGGTGAACCACAAAGGCTATAATTATACTTTTTCCCATCTGTGTGTGTTGAGAAATCAGGATAAGAAATGCGTGCTGGATGATATAATTTCAGTGCTAGAGGATCTGAGGCAGGCTGCCCTCTCCAATAAGACAACAGCCAGGGTGCAAGTGAGCTATCCCAACACTAAATTGAAGGTATGCTCTCAACTGCATGCTTTTCCCCTTAAAGAGGCAGCACTTCCTTCCTTGTCCTCAACAGCAAAGAGAAGCGCCGTGGTCATTTCTGGGGTAGTTTTCCAAAGACGGCACCCAATGACATACTTCTATGGGGGAATCCGGGGGGGGGGCGGGTAGATGTGAGGGTGGGTGGGAATGGTGTGGAGTGGGAAATTGTCCCGTCTGCAAATAAACTGAGCATGGGGTAAAGCTCTGCAACGCTTTTCAGACAGAGGTGAAGCCATCACAGGAATGTATATGGGAAATGTCACATTTTTTGCACTTGTCATGAACTCCGCTTGGTACGGGAACAGACCTTTGATATGGTCCAGAAAAGGCTTCCCTCGGGTGTATTTTAGGAAACCAGTGCTGTAGTGTGCTGATGGCAGAAGTATTGCAGTAGTGATTCTAGGAATTGTGTTCGTTAGCTGCATGCCTAGGGTGGCAAGTCTGATGGCCAACGTCCGCACGGCCAGCCTTGCCACTGGTTATGATCTGGCATATAGGATTGCACCATCAATGCAATGCTCAAGTAAAGGCAGAATGGTGGGATATGGAAAGTTTCTGCCCAGCTAACCCTAATATTTCATATCCCAAGGCAAACAAAGGTTCCCTACCTGAATCTAAAAAATGCGACCGTGGATATGAATGCTTGCCTCAACAATTTCTCCACTGGTAGAAATTTTATTCTAGGATTCTTCTTGAGACTGCTGTGTTGCATGGCAGACAGAATTTCAGGTATAACCTGCAACCTTTTGTTATCACTGACATCACTGGATGTGCAATTTAAGCCTTAGCCACGTAGTTCAGAAACCATATCTTATTGTTATCCCTGACACCCACCTTTAGCCCAAACATGCATTTGGAAACCCACAAAAACTTCTTATTTTTCTTCAGAAAAAAAACCCCATTCATTTTTATGGTTGTGACCTACATTAGTTCAGGCTGCAGCCCTAATAGTGGGTTCTCCTGATCTACCTGGAAGTTATAAATATGAGCACAATGCAGCAAAACCTGGTCACATCTAAGCCCTACTGAGATTAAGAGGGCTTGTTTAGCACAATTAAGGCTGCAATCCTCGGCACACTTTCCTAGTAGTTAAGTCCTATTGAAAGCAGGGGGGCTTACTTCCAAGTAACCATGCGCAGTGCTGTGTTGCATGTCCCATCCCATCCCATCCCATTGTTGCCAGAAGAACTTTGCCAGCATTAACTTTTGCTGAATTATACCTTACATGTTTCTTTCAGCTATTTGTGTGTGTGTGTCCTACATGGGAAAATATCCATACTTGAAAATGTGCATAAAGTCTACCATAAGCCCTAAGTGAAGTAAGAAAAACACCCGCTAAGTGAAGTAAGAAAAACACACTGTAGTAGTTCATTTTCTTTCACTGAAATTATTTATTTTGAGTAGGAAAGATATGACAGATGGAGTACATAATAATAACAGCAGCAGCAGCAACAACAACAACATATTCACATGCCATAATTTATTATTTATATACCACCCATCTGGCTGGGATTTTTTCTGATTTCTATAACTGAGGGGCATTTTATGTTTATTTCTGATTCATATACATGACTTGTCTTTGTTGGGCAGGAAAACGGCTTTGAAAACTAACAGTCAGGGAATTAAACTTTGTTCCATGTCCTTAGTGAATCTTTCTCCATGCTCAGAAACACCTAATAGACGTGCTGTAACTTTTTGCATTCTGAGAAGCCCCTCAGTCTAGAACTGTGAGTCTGCCCCATTATGTGGCAGGTTGTCCTGGATGTTCTTGACTTGGTGGAGACGGGGTCAGCTGGAACTGCGGGAGTTTGCCATTGCCATTGCACCACATCCTGGGGTGGTTTGGGCCTCCAGCCGCTGCTGTCCACCATAGGAAGAAGAGGTTGATTATTAAAATGGTCCCACCCTAAAGGTTAATGGGATCTAATGTGTTCCTTTGGGCTCTCAGGGAATTTCTGGCTGGCATGGTTGGTGCTCCTGTGGAAGTCCATGTTGCTCTGTGGAATATGAAACTGTGTATTAACACCATAATTTATTTCCACGTCTCTGTGCACAGCTATTAGGGAATGAAATCTTTAGGTTTAAAGGTTCTCTTCCATAGGCCCAAGATCAGTTAACGTGGCCAAATATTGGTTAGCTGTTCTTTTCACTTGCTCCTTCTAGTTGTAAAGAACCTTGAGACTCAAGAGATGCAGCTCCTGCTACCCTGTCCTTGGTTGCACTTTCGACCGCAGCTTCTTTCAGGGAGAGTGAGTTGATCCAAGGCTGGCCCTGTATTCCTCCCCTATGAAACCTTGCCAGCCTTGTGTCCCATGGGCAGGCCAACCAACCAACCAACCAACCAAACAGAGCAGAGTCTGTGTTTTGGTGATGAAGGTAGCACCTTCCTTGGTTGAGTTTACTTTTGACCAACCACCGGGCAAGAGGCCAATTCTACCACATATATGACACCCACAAGCCAAACAGGCCAAACAGAAAACATCCAAGTTCAACAAAAGGACTTCAATCAAGGTTCAACACCAGTTGCAAGATTTATTACCACCATTGAAGATTTGATGGATTAAAAAAATCTTGTGTTTAAAAAGGAATGTTATAACCTTGTAACAATGACATGTATGTTAGTTTTTCTGTGTGTCCATGTAGCAAGACTGCCACACATAACATCTGTGCATGATATACAGATACTTTTACCATAGAAATGTGTGTAAAAAAGCATATAATGTTTCTAATTTTGATTGCTCCTGCATATTTTAAAATTACCACTAATTGTAAATACATAAGGAAATTGTAAGAAAATCCAAAAAAGTTGCTAACCTGAAAAGAACAAAACAAACACAAAACAAGAGCTGTTTTGGACTGTGGAGGAGGGCCTCTCCTTCATTTGGTAACCCATTTGTGGGGGAGATGGTCCCAGAAGAGGAGCAGAACGCTTCACACACCAGCCTGCTGCATGTACTTCTTTGTTTTCTATGGATACCTTCTAAGTGCCCAAAGAGCAGACTGGGCAAGGCCTTTGGTGTGATCCGGCAGGGCTTAGCTTAAGGCACAAGAGGTCACTGTGACCTTGCTGAAACTCCTGTGTCTGGTCAGTACCTGGATACCACATATATACCAATCTGGGTTCCATGAAAAAAGAAAAATGAGACAGAAATTTAATATACAGTATACACACACACAAATATGCTAATAGACATGGTTGTCATTCCCTTTTAACACTTTCCAAGTTGATGGCCACATCTTGTGGTAGCAAAGTACATTGTGTAACTTTGCACAGTGTCAAGAAACGCTTGGCTTTGTCTGTGCCTCTTCCAACACTCAGCTTCCCCGGAAGGCCCTGGGTTCTGGTGTTACTTTTCCTACACCACACATAGTTTTCTACAGCAGTATCACAGCCTCCCTCCTTACTTGCCTTCCCCCCTAAACTAAAGAGCCCCAAATGTGGTAACTGTAGCCCACAGAGGAGTTGCTCCAGCCCATTAAACATGTTGGTCACCCCTTTCTGCCCCCTTTCCAGCTCTATAATATCCTTTTTGGGGGGTGCATGGGGAGGGGCTCCAAGAAGCTGTCAGCATGCCCTGAGAACAGCTTTGACTGGCCAGTGAGCGTAGCTGATGGGTCTCAATCTCTCTGTGAGTTAGGGCTTCCCCTGCATTCAAAGACAGGCTCTGGTGGATTGAGCAGATGAGACCAAGAGTGGGTCCAACAGTCAAGGCGGTTTCTGCACATGCCATAGAGGGAAGTGAGATGGGGGTTGTCAGTCTAGGAAGGTAGCCCATCTGGCCCATCTAGGAGAATGAAATCTCTGATCCTAAACCTCTGCTGCCTTGTGGGATATCTTCAGAAGAAGAAAAGGCTCAGGAGTAAACCCTTCACAAATCCAGAGTGGAGTCCCTAAGGTGGTTGGATGGCACCTGGTGCGCCTCCTTCCAGCAACTCCTGCAGACAATCTGGTGCCAAACACCTTGCTCTGCTGTCCTGTGGACCCCATCAGTGAGGCTGAGAAGGGGGTCTTGTTGTCTGGGCAGCCCAGGACCTCCAGACACACTGCCCAGGCTTGGGCCCCAGGAGAGGTCACTTTGGTGCTGCTAATGCAGCGGTTTTGCTTCACCACTGGAGATGCACTCCATTGTCTCTCAAGACAGACGGTGGCCAAGGCCAAGGCAGTCAAGGCCAAACCAAGCCCAAGACCCCCCAAGGCCAAAGTGGCCAAGCCCAAGAAGAAGAGGCTCCTTGGACCCACTGCTTGCCCTTGGCACGCAACCCCAAAGACTCTTTTAAGAGCCACCAAAAAAAGAAAGACAGATGCCAACAATGCCCTTTTTGAGTTGTGGTTACCAGAAATGTACACAATATTCTACACATAGCCACATTTATAAGCATTTTGATTTATGATATGAAGGCATTGTGATACAGACAGTTTCATTTTCTATCCCTACCATTAAATTCACCCTTTTCATAACAGTTGCACACCAATGCAACATTTTCATCAAACTGTGACCCCAATATCTCTTTCTTGGTCAGTAACCACCAGAAACTTAGTATATTTGCCCCAATGTGTAACACTTTACTCTTGTTTACATTGAACCACAACTTGTTGCAACCCCTTTTGTCTTTTACCAACCTGAATAATTTGGTGTCATCTGCTCAATACTAGCTCCAGGTCATTCATTCACGAACAAATTAAAAAGAATTAGTTCCAGCTGATCCAACGTTTTGCATCACCATGTGCTTAATAGCACACTAAAAGAACTCTTTAAAAAAGTATTTAGACAGGTCTTACCTTTTCAGAAGCCATGCTGACTTTTCTCTGTGCTTGGTAATTTTATCTTTAGTCATGCTTTCCATCAGTTTTCCCAGAACAGATACAAAGCCAACTAACGTATAATTTCTTGGACCCTTTTAAAAAACAAGCTACATATGTTTATTATTATGATGTGAACTATGGGTGAACTGAGATCTATGGATGTGAA